AAAAAAAAAAAAAAAAAAAAAAAAAAAAAATCCATTTAACCAAATTACATTACATAATACTGTAACAAAATAAGTTTTGTGTTAGAAAAGTATACTTAATTCTTTGACTTTTTGTAACTGCATACATAAGAATTCAACATTTTTCAAATATTTGTAGTTTATTTTGAAATATTTCTACAATATAGGCAATTTCTTAAAAACCGTCAGGTGATACTTAACAGTAGAAGTATTCACATCCAAACTTTTTAGTAGAAAACCCTAAGGGTTTTGATTTCTTTTTTGATTGTAACATTTTAAAAATTATGAAATAAAAGTACTGAAAACCAGACACAAAATTTATAGCTGAATGCTTTATTATAAGCAAATACTCTTTTAGGACTCAGCCAGTCACCACACGTGTCCTTTTTGTATCCTGTCACAATTACAACCCCACAAAAGTAACCACTAGACTGATTTAAATGGTAATCACTTTGTTGCATTTGATTACTGCTGCAACACCTAAATGCATATATCTATATTTTAATATTATCAATTTAAAATTTTAAATGTATATTTTATTTTACATCTCTTTTTTAATCTAGAAGTTCCCTCTTCTTTCCAGTTCCTTAGAATTTACCTGGTGAAGAACCTGATCCTAGGACCTATAGAGTTTCACATACTTTGTATTTTGCTGATTGCACACTCATGGCACAGTTCAGCACATTCCCCTGTCCTCTAGATATCAGCACATGGGGCAGGTTCAGGCACATTGTATTTGAGAAGACTTTGGTTCAGTCCTTTGGCAAGACTGTAAATCATGGTGTCTTCCTTCCTTCCTTCCTTCCTTCCTTCCTTTCCTTCCTTTTCTTCCTTTCCTTCCTTTCCTTCCTTTCCTTCCTTTCCTTCCTTTCCTTCCTTTCCTTCCTTTCCTTCCTTTCCTTCCTTTCCTTTCTTTCCTTTCTTTTCTTTCTTTCTTTCTTTTTTTTGACAGAGTTGCACTCTGTTGCCCAGGCTGGAGTGGGCACTGCAACCTCCATCTCCCGGGTTCAAGCAATTCTCCTGTCTCAGCCTCCCAAGTAGCTGGGACTACCACAATGCCTGGCTAATTTTTGTATTTTTAGTAGAGAGGAGGTTTTACCATACTGGTTAGGCTGGTCTTGAACTCCTGGCCTCAAGTGATCCACCCACCTTGGCCTCCCAAAGTGCTGGGATTACAGACATTAGCCACTGCGCCTGGCTAAGTTTTGTATTTTTAGTAGAGACGGGGTTTCGCCATAGTAACCAGGCTGGTTTCAAACTCCTGACCTTGTGATCCGACCACCTTGGCCTCCCAAAGTGCTGGGATTACAGGCTTGAGCCACTGTGCCCGGCCTACAGGGTTTTTATCTAACCTTTCTGTTACAACTATACCACTCTTCTTCTATACTGAGAGTTCTGGTTTTCAAGAACACAGAGCATGATAGAATTAGAACATCCCACAATTACTCATTTCTTTTATTTACCTTACACTTGCAATTGCCTCAGAATACAACCACAACCAATATGGCAATTGAAATAAGTGTTCCATTTGCTTTTCCCATTCTTTCCCAATTTTTTATTTTATTTTATTTTTTTATTCTTATTTTTTTTTGAGATGGAGTCTCGCTCTTGCTGCCCAGGCTGGAGTGCAATGGTGCGATCTCGGCTCACTGCAACCTCCGCCTCCCGGGTTCAAGCGATTCTTCTGCCTCAGCTTCCCGAGTAGTTGGGATTATAGGCATGTGCCACCACACCCTGCTAATTTTGTGTTTTTAGTAGAGATGGGATTTCTCCATGTTGGTCAGGCTGGCCTCAAACTCTCGACCTCAGGTGATCTGCCCACCTTGGCATCCCAAAGTGCTGGGATTACAGGCGTGAGCCACTGCGCCTGGCACCCCAATTTTTAAAATAGTTATACTATATCAACATTTTCAGAACATACTGGTATAGCATACTGTACTTTCTTCCTTTTATCCCCCATTTATTCTTAGTTCTTCAACTGTATATTTAACACTTACCCCAGTTTTTGTTGTTTTGTTTTGAGGCGGAATCTTGCTCTGTTGCCCAGGCTGGAGTACAGTGGTGTGATCTTGGCTCACTGCAACCTCCGCCTCCCAGGTTCAAGCAATTCTCCTGCCTCAGCCTCCCAAGTAGCTGGGATTACAGGTGGGCACCACCACGCCCAGCTAATTGTTGTATTTTTAGTAGAGATGGGTTTTGCCATGTTGGCCAGGCTGGTTTTGAACTCCTGACCTTAAGTGATCCACCCGTGTTGGCCTCGTAAAGTCCTGGGATTACAGGCGTGTGCCACTGCGCCAGGCAGTTGCCCCCAGGGTTTATTTGATGGCTCTGACTGTTTCTCATATCTGACTCTTTAATTATGAATCCAGGGCATAGATTAGTATCTCTATCTTGAAAGGAAGCAAAGAAGCCATGAAAATGAGTGATATCAACTCCTGAGGATAAAATGTTATTTGACTAGAGTTAGCTTTTTAATTGTGATCATTTATAAACTTCTTTGTTCCTTACATATAAGCATAGTCATAACCATGGTACCCAAAATTTTCTGTAAGTTATTGTAACTCCTTAAAGGTCTTGCTACAGTTCTTCTATCCAGTACAAATAACTGGGAAAATGTAAAGCTGAGTGAAATCTAGTGAGCCTCATATCCTCCCTTTTAGATATTGGTTTTAAGTTTGCTTTTCACAGCTGCTAAAAAGTAACAACTAATTTTTAGTTGCACAACCTCTCTTTCTTAAATTTGGATGGATCATACAATAAAGCAAAACCTGGCTGATTACAGTGGCTCACACCTATAATCCCAGCACTTTGGGAGGCTGAGGTGGAGGGTCACATGAGCCCAGGAGTTCCAAGACCAACCTGGGCAATATAGTGAGACTCCTCTTAAAAAAAAAAAACAAAAAAAAAAGCTGGGCATGATGCACACTGTTATTTTCGGCTACTAAGAAGGCTGAGGTTGGAAGATCACTTGAGCCCAGGAGGTCAAGACTGCAGTGAGCTATGATCATGCTACTGCACTCCAGCCTGGGCAACAGAGCAAGACCCGGTCTCCAAAAACATAAATAATTAAATATAAATAAAAATCAAGCAAAACCTGTTGGGAAACAAGAGAAAAAGGAGAGGAATTTTTCAGGAATAATCATAAAAAGAAAAATGATCATCAGACTGAAAGTCTAGTGCGTGAGAGATGAAAACATATTTTTAAGCATTGGTGTTGACCATGCAGACAAACTTCTGTTAATTCAGAGCAGTACAAAAGGCACCTTTGAATCTATAAAACTTGAAAAAAGTTAAAAATTGTATTTTGGATAGGCCAGGCGCGGTGGCTCAAGCCTGTAATCCCAGCACTTTGGGAGGCCGAGACGGGCAGATCACAAGGTCAGGAGATTGAGGCCATCCTGGCCTACGTGGTGAAACCACGTCTCTACTAAAAAATACAAAAAACTATCCGGGCGAGGTGGTGGGCACCTGTAGTCCCAGGTACTTGGGAGGCTGAGGCAGGAGAATGATGTAAACCTGGGAGGCGGAGCTTGCAGTGAGCTGAGATCCGGTCACTGCACTCCAACCTGGGTGACAGAGCGAGACTCTGTGTCAAAAAAAAAAAAAAAAAAATTGTATTTTGGATAAAGCTTTAAGTCATCTGTCACTATTAACCTCAATGCAGCAATTCTGACTCTTGTGCCTGGATTCCTCTTATGATAATTTTGCCACCTACAGGACAGATTAGGTGCTGGTCGCCTGAATTATTTTGTGTTCTGAATTATTTTGAGTTCTAAAATGGTAAAGTGCAAATACTCATTGTTTCACTGTGCCTTTGGCCTTTTATAAAAAGGTATTTCTAATTCGTTGGTAAAAACCAATATTTGAAGCTATTGATTAACAACAAAAAAGTTTCACTGTCTTTATAGTGCCTCAGGATACAACTTTTTCAAGGCTTATTAGAGAAAAACTGATTCACATGTTATTCTTCTAAAGCTAAATTCTTAAAATGTAGGTTGAAAGAGTGGATTGATTGTGAATCTACACTAAACATATGGTCCCAGGCAGACCTCCTTACTGTCTTCAGTGATGTTGCGTTTCGTTACTGTTACTGGGTGCCAAGTGTCTTTCATTTGGAAGTGAACTTACGCCAGTTATTGAATGTTTATCATATCATAATTTGTATTTTCAAACATTAAGTTTTTCAAACATTAAAAAGTCACTAAGAGATTCATTCTTTTATTATTCAACTACAAAAAAATTAGCGTAATGATTGGAATTTAAAATGTACAATTCTTTTTCTTCTGTAAGTATATATTGCTATGATAAATAAAAAATGGCAGGACCATTGTTTTTATTAAAATATCTACTGTGTCTATTCTTAAACATTAATCTTGGTTACTTTTTTATTCAAACCTAATAATGCTTTTTAAATCTTCATCATTGAGCAACA